TAGTACTAGTAATAAGTAATACTATACGTTATATAAGAATAAATTCAGAAATAAATATAAGAATAAGTATATAGTTAAATATAAGTTATCTTTTAGTATTTAAATATATAATAAATAATATAATATAATGAATAAGGTATTATACTATTGACCTTATATATATATATATTTTATATTATTAAAGCTTATTTTTAAAAATTAAAATAGGTATTATTATTTACTATATAAAAGCTAAAGAAAAAGTGTTTTTTTTTAAAAAAAAGAATTACTTATTTTCCTCTTAACGTATAGGTTAGTATATATCTGTAAAGCTCTATACGTATAAGAATAGTAACTTACTACGGTCCGCCTTATTCTTAAGGTATCGCGCTATCTCCCGAAGGCTACGGGGCGATATATCCAGGCTATCGGTATCGTTAGTATCCTCTATAGTAAAGGCGCGGCGCTTCTTATTCTTCGCGACTATAAATCTAATTAGTATAGTTCTATGCAGAGTTATAGGGATCTATAGAGTATCTTATAGTATAGCGAACACTTAGCTCCTTCCGAGCCGTTATAGTAATTACCGTAGGCTCCGTTCCCGAAGCCGTCTAAGGTAACGCAGTCCTCTAAATTACCGCGCTCGTCCTAGCACTTTTTATAGCGGTCATCGTTAAACTACTCCTGGCTAAATAGCTAAATAAAAAACCCCGTAATGGCCTACGGGCGTTTTATATTAAAATCGGGTAATTTTATTTTACCCGCCTTTTCGTACTTAAGCTATAATACGATTCCGCGCCGGATCTATTTTATATATGAGTATATAGTACTATATAGGGGTATACAGTAATATACCTCCAGCGTCTTTTTTACTATATACCTAGTAATATCTCTCGAGTATCTATTCTTAACTACTATCGATCTATTAGCTTAGTCCTAATACTATAGCGATACACAGATACGTATAGTCTAGTATATATACGGTTAGTTACTTCCCCTCTATACTAGAGGGCTATACTACGGGCGCGGGAAGGAGTTTATCGCTAGTAATCTTATTTAGCCACTGCACGCGACGGGTATTAGTAGCTATATTACGAATTATCCTTATATTTATCTATATAGATCTATAACCGCCTATATGTTATATTGCTATATTAGCTAACTGCCTAGTAAGAAGGTATATAACCGTAACGTGCAAAATAGCTTTAAAGATAAGGATACTAGTAGATCTAACCCTATAGAATCGAATGCCGATATCTGATTTAATGCTATAACTCTGTATAAGGGTATAGGTGGGTTTACTTACCTGACTCGTTATTAGTTATCTGGAGAGGAAAATAAGATTAGTGTGGACGTGGCGTTATAGTAGTATAGGGGCACGAAAAATTTTCTAGGCTTCTAATTAGTTAGCTGGCCTAGGGCTATACTACTAAGGTGCTCTTCCTGCTACTAGCGTACCACTATATACGAGTCTATACACCCCTGTACAGGCGTCTGTCTATGAATTCTTTTGGGATTTTTGGAAGTTAAAACAGACCGTCCTGCCGCTTGCCGTAGTTGTCCCCGCATATTTTCTCGATACCAGAAGCGGCAGCGAATTGAAAATAGAGGCCTAGATTAATACGTTAATTGATTGTTTGATTGATTTGAACTGGTCGAATAGCAGCGCAGGGGGGATAGTGGAGTAGTACACCACCTAGACTAGCCTCTTAATCCCCAAGAGGTCGTAGGTTCGAATCCTGCTCCCCCTAACCCTATCTCAGGCAAAGGGGGCTGGTAGTGGCCCCTAAACCCCTGCTAAGTAGATAACCGATAGCCTGGGCACCTATCCTTATCGAGACAGCAGAATAGCCTAAAAAGGAAGGGGATTCCTTACTAAGCTACCACCGGCATAGGGTTATTATAAAAGGGGGAAGAAAGGTACGGGGGGTTACCTAGGCCCTTAGGTTTCTTCCGTAAGGTTTTTCCTAAAGGGAGGATTTGCTGAAGTGTAGGGGTAGGGCGTACGTGGCATTTCCTAAGTAAATACTCCTAGTACTTTCCCTAACCCGAAAGTAGTAGTAGTGTGTCCTGTACCTAGTTTATACCTTTCGGTACCTCCGAATAGTCTATTATAACTTTAGGGTTGTATACGGACTTTAATAAACCTGAATTTAAAAAAAAAAAATAGCAGCGCTAAACAGCACCAACCAACAGAATACACAACCCTTTATATAATCTGGAATAATACCACCACCCTAAGAGAATTAAATCCTTCTGTAATGGATAGGCAAGGTAACATTCTTATATAATAAGCGTTCCTATTATCAACAATATTTTTAGTTACTGCGTCTTCAGTACTGCTTATTGATTGGTATATAAGACATCTCATAAAAGGATGCCTTAAACCCGCACGAATTTATTCCTCCTTCCACCCATCTCCGGCACAAGTCATCCAGTTCACTCCCACCAGTTCCAGGCGGTGATACTTAACAAACTCAGCCAGCTTAAAAGACCTTCTCTCGTCGAATTCCTCCCCACCGACATCCTCCTTGGCCAAGTCCAGCCGCTCCGACTCGCGGTAGAGTAGGAATAGGTACCGATGTGGCTTGGAACTGAATATCATTCGCGTTAGTGATGATCCACTCTCTTCCTACCGAGCTCCTAATTTTTTTGCTTTCTCAATCTCATCAGATGGGATGATCATATGATGGACACCTACAGGTCCTGAGGTCCCGGGGGGTGATACTGGGTGAGCGGCTCCTTGGTCTCTGCGACCAGGGTGGTCTGGCGGCTCGGGCCTGGGCTTAGGGGCTGCAGCCCGGGCACCACCCAGTGCCTCCAGAAGGCATAGCGAGGGTCATCCGGGGTGGGTGCATCGGGGTCTGCAAAGATGAGCAGATATGCAGCGCTCGAAGGGGCTCCGGCCTGTTGCCAAGTGCGCGTGCTTGGTCAGCGTGCCTGCTGTCAAGTGCCCAGATTGAGCACGGGTAATGATTTGGATGGACCATGATTCATGACAATCGATGCCGAATGGTCAAGCTTCAAAACGCCAACGTACCTCGGCCGGGAAGGCGATGCTCGGTGCCTTTTTGCACTCCCCTGCCCGGAAGAAGTTTCCCAATTCGACAGCTTTATCATCAAACGACACGTCGAGTTTGGTCGTCGGCGTGAACCCCTCGGGAATCAGCTCGGCTGCTGGGCCGGGTACGAGGTTTGCCTTGGCCAACGAGGCGGCGAGGGCTTCTGCGTGACCGGAGAGTGTCATGATCTGTGCGACAGGTCGATCAAGTTCCGAGTTTTGTCTTCTCACACTCGGAGACTAGAGTCTCGGACGCGTATCTTTATGAAGCATAAAGACTTTAATCTCGTGCCGCGTGCGGGGGACACAAGTCACACGAGCGGCGTGTGGTGGAAAAATGACGGGAAGAGATGGCAGAGATCGCAAAAACTCAATAATTAGAATACATACCTCAGATATATGTCCGTCTCCAACAACCTCGCTCAACTCGTCGTCCGGTAGTTACTTCCTAAAGATGAGCGAGTCCCGATTCCTCAATGGGCTATGACGTCAGGTTAAATCAGCGACGCGCTGACGTTCCTCCGCGTCAGGGGCTCACTTATATTACCTAAGGATAACGTCGAAAAAGTACATGTACTCTGAACAAGTTCTCAGAGAACACAAGTTGCAGCCCCTTCAGATACACTACAACCACTGGTACCCGGGCACGGGTAACCATTACTCCGTATCTGCAGATTACATAAGGTACCTTTTCTGTGTTTCGCAGAACTTACTTAAGCAGATTCCTGCGTGGGACGCATCGCATTGTTTTTGGTCACCTGAAAACCATCTCGGCAGCTCGTCATTCTTACAAGCAACCAACTTCCCACAAGCAACTTTCAAAGATGGCCAACGACCACATCGCACGTCTTGTGTCTACGATCGCACTCACCTGTCCACGGGCAAAAGTCACATCCTCCATCAGTCGCCGAAGCAATTTGTCAAAGGTCAACGAAGGGCGCACGGACAGAGTGGGAAAGGTACCATATACACCCGTCGGACGGCGGACGGCGGACGGCGGACGGTGGCGGAGTATGGCGGGCTCCGACGTCTGCATAGAACACCGGGTCAACCGTCAAGAGACTTCACAAAGTTTTGGAAAGCAGAGCACCGTCACGGATGGGATTGCTGGGATTCTGGGATTCTGGGATTCTGGGATTCTGGGATTCTGGGATTCTGGGATTCTGGGATTCTGGGATTCTGGGATGCACGGTATCATCGTATGCACCAGTGACCAGTCGACCGTCGGTGAAAAGCGAGAGGCTGGGTGGTAACATGAATCCTTCCTAAAATATTGCATCCGTTTCCTACTTCAACTCCAATTTTCCGACAGAGCCCGTTCCTTCTCTGCCCTATTGTGAACCAGCAAGATGGGCGACACTTGTGTGGGCAGCGGTGTTTGAGTCTTGAGACGGCGTCTCAGAGACTCAGAGTCAAACCCACACACGCATGATGCACTAACACACTGCACCCACACAGTAGAAGTCAATTGTGCCCTTCCCAGACCGGGTTAGTGAACTAGAGATTCCTAGCGCCGTTACGTACCTTGTGCCGTTTGATTTACGGCAAATTATTAGGAAGGTGTCTAAGAAATCCCCGGTGATAGTTGAGGATACTGGGACCATGGTGGGGGATCAGCCTATGGTACGGATACATTTGATCACATCAGACAAAAAAGGGTCCGATGATAAACGACTTGATGCTTGTTTCATTTCTTCCGTCATCTATTGGCCACTCGGACGCTTTATCTGCGCGGGATGGCCCATGGCCCATGGGGGCTGGCCAAGCTCCGAGGGTCGGTGAAGACTTCATGTTGAGAGTCGAGACTCAAGACTCAAGAGGATAGCCCCTCGGTCTGGGCCGCCGAGGTTAAACCCAAGCTGGTGGGATCTTCCGAAAGTGAGAGCACCGTGAGCACGGTATCACGGTATTAAGTCGTCCATTGTCATTCAATATCTAGCATCTGGGGCACTTCTAACTCTACTTGTCGGCGTTATCCTCTTTGCTTCTTCCCCTTTCCTCTTCCCAATCGTGGCCTCCCGTCTCCCAAGTTCGAACCTCGCTGCCGTCAGGGTCTGTAGAGAACCCGTGCTCAAAGCCGTGCTTCTTTGGCTAGCTTATCTGCCCCTCGGCCGACCGACTAAACCGCCCCGTCCCTGTTCTAGACTATAGACTCTAGTCTCTAGTCTCCCCACTCTCAAGTCCATATCCGAGAGTCGCCGAGTCGGGAGCCTGTGTCCTGCTGACAACCCTGAATAGTGTTGCCGATCGCGTGCTGATGGATATCACTAGACCGTACTACCGTAGTACCTAGAGAAGCGTTGGGATTCTGCAAAAGCGGTCCGAAGGGCCGGCCACGAACTGCGACAGTCGTAATCCTTCATGTTCCCTTCCCGCCATCGTCGTCACCTCCAATGGCCGCCACGGACGACATGGACGAACTCGTGATTCGACTTTTCCGCGATGTGATCGACAAGGGGAAGGCGGCCATACAGAAGGGGGAGGAGGTGGTGGCGCCGGAAGACGACAGCATCGGCGACAGGATGTCCAGGGCTGGCCGCGCTATCGTCAAGGAAGGCGAGCGAGCTGTGAAGAAGATCATTTCGCTTTGGAAGGAAGAAGGCGGGACTATCGGCGACGCTTTTAGACGGATGATCACCGAGCCGGGTATGGGCCCGAATCGCCATCTCAGCCCCTCGACGCGGCGAAGGCCAGTCAGTGGCCGCTGGCCTAGGCTAACGTTTATTTTCACAGGTGAGCTGACCGACAAGCAGAGAAACTTGGAGGCTCTTTTGTACGATTTTGAGGACTTCATCGATGCCGACTCCTTCGAGGCGGAAAGGTTTAAGGAGCTCCAAGCTGCAAGCAAGTCGCTGGCGCTGGCCGTCATCGAAGCGATCCGGAGACTGGCTGTCGAAACACCACCAACACCGACGTCAGGGAGAACCCCCTTATTAACCCCTTTGACTCCTTCCATGTTCCCGCCTTTGCCTCCGCTTCCTCCTCTGCCCAGCCATATGAAGGCCGATCATGGGGTCATAAAGCCAGCACCGCGGCCGATATCCAGGGGCAAGGAGGTTCACCCCCTTTCCATTCGGACAAAGCAACCGCGGTCATTTTGTTCAGAAGAGAACGGCCCCATTGTGGGGTTGGGGATTCGGGGGATTCGCAGTCATGAGTACATGCATGCCATGGACGATCACGAGTCTCACCATCCACCGACGTCAAGGTCATCACTGTCCCACCACTCCGTCGTCACCGAGAACTTGAATCCACCCTTGTCGGACGTGGCATCAACAAAGGGGAGCAGAGGAACGAGAACGACAAACGAATATCCGAGCTGGCGAAACGTCGACCTCACCATCGGTCCGAACAGCACCTTCGCCGTGATGAAGGGTTTCTGCGAAGGAGCGACGGGGTTCCGGTCCGGCGGCCACTGGGACGGCGTCATGAGATACGGAGCGGCCCCCGGTGCGCAGGCCGCCAACGCTTACTCGTACGACCTGCTCTTTGCAACGCCCCAACAGCCCGTGCTGGCCGAACCGCTGGCCAAGTGCATCCACTGCGAATACTCGCACAAGTATGATCAGATGAGTGAGGACGTGGACCGACATCGTGAGTCTGACAAAAAAAATACCGCCAACACCAAAACACTGTGTCTTGATGTTAACTTTCCCCCACTTTTTTCCCCCCCAGCTGGGGCGAACCTCGTATCAGAAGGCGTCAGATTCCGACGGCGATTCCTATACAAATCACACATGGCGACGCGCGACAACCTCAAAGCATGCTACGCCTGCCTCTTCTGCGAACGCACAGGCTCGACCGTCCGGGAAGACGACCCCACCGTCTTCACGTCCATCACGCAGCTCATGCGCCACGTCGCCCGCCACCCGCGCCCCCTCCCCGCCGTGCCAGGTCTAGCCGTCATCTACGGCACAATCGGGCCCGACCACCCGCAGGCGCAAGATTACGACGTGAACCTCGCCAACCCGTCGCCGGAGGAGGGGGAGGGGGAGGGGGAGGGGGAGGAGGACGGGGACGGGGACGGAGGGACGACGACGACGACAACGCCTGACGCGACGAGCCGAGGATACCTCCCCGTGGCGGTGGCGGTGCGCGATCACGTCGCGTTCCCGAACGAGCGCAAGTTGAGCGGGCCGGACCGGGAGACGGCGGCGCTGTCGTTCCTCGCGGGGGCACGGATCGTGGCGGTGGAGTTTCCGGAGAAATGGGGCGGGAAGTGGTGCGTCGGATGGCATGATGGGCGGTTTGGGGCGTTTCCGGCCAAGATGGCGCAGCTGGAGGCTCCGAGGCGGCGGTCGAGCATGAGGATAGAGGCGGCGACGGGTAGCAGGCGGAGTGGAGTGACCAAGTGGAAGTGGGAACCCAAGGAAACCTCGACGGGGGCGGCGTCTGGGTCGGTTGGGTGGTTGGCGTTCGATAAGGGGGAGCAAATCACCCATCTTGACTGTAAGTCGGACACAACACCGATATGCGTGCCATCAAATCTCTTTGGGAACATGAAGCGAGCACTGACTCGTCTTCGGAAAATAGGGGACGACCCGGACGCATGGTACTGGTTGGGGACGAACAGCAAGGGCAAGTACGGCATCTTTCCGAGGTCACATATGAAAATTGAGAGTATTCAGGACGGATCTCTCGTGACGGAGGAGGGGGAGGATGACGAGGGGAGCCAGGGGACGAGTGTTCGACGGCTTTCGAGGCCTAGGAGGTCGGGAAAGAGGCCGACGAACCTGTTCGGATTACGACGATTGAGCAGCCAGACTTGGTCTACGTCGTCATCTTGACCTCGTTCAAGTGCGACTGGAGGCAGATTTTGCAGGTCCTGGACTCCTGTGCTGTGTTCGGATGGCTTTGCTACTACCGGATCAAAAAGCGAGTTGGGTTGGGTCTTACAAGATATTTTCATGTGTATATGAATGAATGACTTGATGGTATTGTCGGAGCCGTCGCCTTCTTAGGACCGACAAAGGCACAAAGGTCGTCCCTCCATGACCACCTGCTTTATCGTATGGGTCTGACCATCTTGGCGTCAGAGGCGACATAATAGAAACCTCAACTCCCTCAGGGCAGACGCACATTAGCAATGGGAAGTGGCCGACCTCCATCTTCCGTTTCGTCCTTGGACCTCCTACCTACGCCGTAGCTTGGACCAGATTGCGTCATGTTAAGGACCCAGGGAAAGGGTGGAGGTTTATTTTGGACTGTTGGTCCGTTCGGTATGGTGACCGCATGCATTGAGCCCAGCATGGGCTGCACGGCATTGGGGGCAGTGAAATCCTTCCAGAAGGATGAGAAGCGCGCAACGACTTGCATTTTCTGTCTTGTGGGAGTCGAAGACTGCCTGCCGGTGGGAGATGAATCGATGATAGATCAACAGTTGATAGAAGACAAGGAGGGGCCGATCCTCAGGGAGGGGCTAGAGAGTAGAGCACATGCATGAAAGGCTGGGCATAGCTCTCGGGCGTCCTCGGGCGTCCTCGGGCGGATTGGCGTGTTTTAGTCGCTTTAGTGTGATGTGATTGACCGGCAAGACCCTGCTGTGGCCCAGCTGTGGCCCTGCTGAAGCTAAACCGAGGGGAAGAGGTTGACGGCTTTGCAAGGTGCGGACAGATCAATACATATTGACGCCTGTGATTGTGGTGGGCGGATCAAGCACACCATCAACGAGAGTGGGTGTGGCGAGGTCAGTATCAGAGGCTTCAGAGCTGCCTGTTTCGGATCCGGGTCTGCCCTGTTTGCCTCTTGTCGGTCCATTTGTCTTGGGATAGTAATTATTCCGTATCGGTATCGCCCGGCGTGTTAATTGGTGTTTGAGGTGAATGGAAGTGAAGAACCACCGAGGCGCATTGAAGCAGAGCTTTTGGCTGGTGTGCCTCGGCGTGGTTTATCGCGTCTTGGCTGGAGGGCAGAAGAGGACTGAGGGAAAAGGAAACAGGAAGGGAAAAAAGAAAAAAAGGGGAGACAGTTCGTTGTTATTCGGCCCAGGAGGCTTCATGTTCGGTTTGCGCCGGGCGCCCGAGTCAAAATTCAGGGGTTCAACCCCCTGAATCCTGATGACCTCAACTGCATGTGTGCTCAGAGTGTCAGCCTACATGTATTGTCTTCATGTTCAAGGCGGTCCAACGGTCAACGGTGCAGGTCGGGCATCCATGAATGCCCTTCTTCCGCCCTGCTTCCGCGACGCTCGCATTGGCTTGTCCATCAGTTGGAGTGTTGGACGTTAGCGAGCTCGGCTTGGCTCCACCACAATCTGTAGCGTACATACGTAGAGCGAGCAGTTGGGACTTGGAGGATGCAGATACACTGATCCGTGCCTGTTATAATTGAGGCTGTGGCGTCGTCCCGGTGGGATGGGTTGGTGGACTTCGACCGTTGGATAAGGGGAAAAGAATAGAGGATCGACAGGGGGAGAACGCCACTGCTTTTAAAATGCCTCCGTAGTGGCAGTTTGCCTTGGCCCATCCCGCGGGAAGATCTGTCAGACATGTCGGCTCGAAACCTCCAAAGAAACTGGGATGTTGGGCCAGGATTTCATGCATTTCATGCATTTGGATTCCATTCGCACACTTGAGTCTCTTGCCCTTATCCTCTTTCTTCGAAGAAAAGAAAAAGACAGCTTTTTCTATTCCTCGGACCTGCGACCCTGCATGTGGACTTTTCATGATCGTCCAAATACGTCTCTGCGCCGTCTCCCACAGCATCGTCGCGTCGAGCGTTACGCAAGTCGTCGCTCTCGGGGAGGGGCACCCAGTTGACAGTTGTTCTGAGGCTCCTCTGAGAGCGGAATCCCGAGACCAAATCATCAAACAATGTCAGGCCTCGGCCTCGCGCGAGAATCGTGGACCTGGTATGGTCTCACCTGGGTCGTCGTCGTCGCCCGAATGTGCGTGCAGCGTATCTTTACTTCAAGTTGACAGTGATGTGCCCCCGAGGAATCGATTCTACGGACCAGACCGCGTGCGTGCGACTAACTTTTGCGAGATTTCAATTCCCATTCTTTCCAGGGTCTCGCGCATCCTCCTGAGAGGTTCCATCACCAAGCTCCAGGCCGATGATCTTCTCGTGGTGTTCGCCATGGTTTGTTGCTCTGAGCTCACTGCTGCCTCTGCCTCGCCTCTCCCTCTTGCGCATCCGTTTACCGACTCTTGCAGGCCTGCGACACCGTCTTGATAGCCGGGATGAACATCATTTCCCATACGAACAGCAACCTCATCGACCCGGCCGATACGTCGCCGCTCACTCCGGAAAGCATTGCCGAGCGCGAGTATGGTTCGAAATGGGTTCTTGTCGTGGAGCAGATGCAGTGTATTGTCATTTGGACCGTCAAGATTTGCTTCCTCTTGATGTTCAACCGCTTGACGTTCGTTTCCTTCAATTTCCTTTCTTTTTTTCTTTCTTTTTTCCCTCGAACCTCGGCTTCACTAACATCCACTCCCCTACGTTAGAATAACCCTACGGCAGAACATCGCCGTCATGATGGTGGCGGCATATGTCATTGTCGGCTTCATCGTCATGGAGGCTCTCTACCTAGCGGTCTGGTGCCGACCTTTCCACCAATATTGGGCCGTCCCCCCTGATAATGGTAAGGACTCCCTGACCCCTTATCTGCGTCATACCCCTGAACCTCAACATACATGTACTCTCCTGACTTTCTGACTTCCACTCTTCCCAGTGCAATGCTCAGCAGCGACGAACCACCTCATTACCAACACAGTGCTCAACATCTCCTCAGACATTCTGATCATTCTGATCCCCATGCCCGTCCTCCTCCAAAGCCAGATCCCCCGCAAGAGGAAGCTGATTCTTTGCGGTGTCTTTGCACTGGGCATGTTCACCGTACGTCGCCCCCCACCCCCGAATACCCTAACCCCCTATTACGCTTGTGGGACAACGGCGACAGCGGGGATACAGTATACGCTCATTAACTGACACAACCCCCGTTATCACGCCCGCCCCCTCCCCCCTCAAGATCCTCTGTGCAGTCCTCAACAAGTACTACAGCTTCACAGAACCATTCGGCCAAGACTGGACATTCTGGTACATCCGCGAGTCGTCCACCGCGCTCATCGTCGCCAACTTACCGCTGACATGGACCGTCCTGCGGCGCATCTTCAACCTGAAAGCCTTCGACGGCGGCAAGTCGTCCTCGTGCTCTCATCGCCGCTACGGAAGGACGGGCCCGGCCCCGGGCGGCGGCAGGCGCAACACCAACGGGGGGGTGGGCCAGGATGCTTCGGATAGCCAGGAGCGGATTAACGGCGGGGTGGGGGGCTATCCCCATACGATTCCGCTGCGGATTTATCAGCGCCAGGAGGTGGAGGTCCGGTCGCATAGGGCTATGACTTTGGAGGAGAGGGACGAGGAAAGCATCCGAGGAGGCGGAGGCGGTATCGTGGGATTGAGGTCGAAGGGGGTGCGACAGGATGTGTGATTTCATGTTGGCGTGGGCTTTATTTCGATATTGAGTAGGTAGAAAGTCTCAAGCCTGTCTGCTCCCTCGACTTTTCCATGTGTGAGAGGAGGTGAGAGGAGATGCGATAGGCAAGCAAGCAGTATATGACAGATTTTGATCGGCAGTGCTTAACCCCGATGGGTTGATTGCCCGGGTCGGAGGAGAAATATCCGTTCAAGTGGCCTCCGGCCCTCCGGTCCGGCGCAAGAGACGCAACGCAACCCCTTGATGAGGGGTAACTGGGAAGATAAAGTGATTAATAACATGCAGACGCAGACATCCACAGGAGCGTGCTATCGGGCCTATTTTATTTATCTATCTAAGCTTTCCACGCAGACAGAAAACATTGTGCACCGTCCGAGAGTCCCATACCGATTCCTCTTTTCTCGTCAACGATACTACTGACCAAACCATGCCAACATGGTGCTCCCTACGCACTCCAAGCCCACGGCACCCGTGCTCTCCCACTTCCACCTCGGCGGCAAAACCGCCCTCGTCACCGGCGGCTGCCGGGGCATCGGCCTCGAAGCGGCGCGGGGTCTAGCCGAAGCGGGGGCCAAAGTAGCCATCACCTACAGCACCACCGACCCGGCCGAAGCCGACAGAATCGCCGCCTCCCTCTCGATGTCGATCTCGGCCTCGGCCTCGGCCTCGGGTACCGGGATGGCCGCCGTCGTCCGGGCGTACCAATGCGACGTCACGTCACGGGCCGACGTCGAGGCCACGATGGAGAAAGCGGCGCGCGAGCTGGGCGGCGGCCGGCTCGACATTTGCGTCGCCAACGCCGGGATCGCGGCCCACATCCCGGCGCTGGAGTACGACGAGGAGGCGTGGCGCCAGATGCTCGATGTGAATTTTCACGGGGCGTTCTGGACGGCGCAGGCCGCGGCGCGGATTTTCGAGCGGCAGGAGAGAGAGGATGGGGGGAGCGGCGGTCGCGCGTCTATCATTTTCACGTCGAGCGTCTCGGGGATCCTCGTCAATGTGCCGCAGAAGCAGGCTGCTTACAACGCCAGCAAGGCGGCTGTCACGCACTTGGCCAAGTCTCTGGCGGTTGAGTGGGTCGATTTTGCGAGGGTGAACTGTATTTCTCCCGGGTTCATCTCCACTGACAGTGAGTAAAAGTCGGCTGGGCTGTCCCTGACTCCCTGTCCCCGACTCCCTGTCCCCGACTCCCTGTCCCGACTCCCCATTCCCTCATGAAGGGTTCGCAGGAACTTATTCCCAAGACCAGCTCCCTGAGACCGTCTGGCGACTAAAAGGATTTATAATTAGTGATTTCTACGCTCCCCAGCGAATGGAGGACGAAATGGCATGATATGGTCCCGGCGGCACGCTTCTGTGATCCGGCCGAGTTGAAGGGCGCCTATGTCTTTTTGGCCAGCGAGGCCTCCAGCTATATGACAGGTGAATCAAATGCTCCCCCGAGTTGGTCGCACCTAAGGTACTGACAGCGTAATCGTCGTTATCAGGCGCCGATCTGGTGATTGACGGAGGATATACTCTTCCCTGAGTTGGGGGGATCGTGGTTGCGTGTTGAGGAGAGGACGGAATCACGGAAATGTAAGGGAGGACATGGAACATGCGGTAAGGTATAACATATATTTATAGAAGAACAGAAGAGCATGGTCTGTGCTTCTTTTCCGATAAGATAAGACATCTGGAACCGATAAAAGATAAGAGATAAGCTATCAATAACGTGTATCACTATGGGTAGTACCTTCCGAAGTCCCCCAACCTTCACCCTCGATCCCTTCTTCACCCTTCCTTCCCTCCTACCTCAGACCAGAGAACACACGCTATGCGGCGAAAGTCTTCCCTTGCTGCTGCTCGCAAGATTGCACTCCAAGCAGGGCATGACGCAGACGGGGACCATGCCTCAGGATCGGGCGATGACACGACACCACCTCTGAGAAAACGGCCCAGGACGCGGTCTCGGGCTCGGTCTCAGTCTCGACGCAAAGACGCGTCGGACTCGGCGAGTGAAGATGAAGATGAAGACACATTAAGATCAACCGACTCTCCCACGTCAGGACACCCCAAGGCCAAGGGGACAACAGGCGGGACAACAGGCGGGAAACCAGTGTCAAGGAAGAAATCCAATGGCTCGTCTCACAAATCAGTCTCATCCCTCTTCAACAACCTCGTCGCATCAGCCGCCGCCGCCGCCGCCGCATCCTCACCTACCATAAGCAGAATGCCCCCCTCATCACCCACTCTCCCTCCCCTCCGCTCTCACAACCTCTCCTACCACATCCCCTTGCTCCTCGGCCCTCTCGCCACGGAATCCCGCCATTCACTCCTCTCCTGGTTCGACAGCGTCAGCACCACCCGCCGCATGCCCTGGCGCAAACCCTGGATCGACCCATCCTCCCCCCTCTACTCCTCCGACCCGTCAGCCCTACGCTCCGCCCTCGAGCGCCGCGCCTACGAAGTGTGGATCAGCGAGATCATGCTCCAGCAAACCCGCGTCGCCGTCGTCATCGACTACTGGACCCGCTGGATGGCCCGCTGGCCCACCATCCACGACCTCGCCGTCGCCACGCCCGACGACGTCCTGAGCGCCTGGCGCGGCTTGGGCTACTACAGCCGCGCCACCCGCATCCACCACGCCGCGCGCCTGGTCGTCGCCGACCCGGCCATGCGAGGGCTCCTGCCGCGCGACGTGGCCGAGCTCGAGAGGAAGCTCCCCGGCGTAGGGCGCTACACGGCCGGCGCCCTCGCTGCCATCGTCTTCGGCCTGCCGGCGCCCATGGTCGACGGGAATGTTTTGCGCGTGCTGAGCCGTCAGCTGGGGCTTTTCGTCAATGTCAAGACGGACAGGGCCGCCGTCGACCTGCTTTGGGCCGCTGCCGATGCGTTGGTTCATGCCGTGGCCACATGCACGGACACAGACGGTCCCCGCGACGCGAGCCCGGCTCGTGCCGACGAGGAGGCGGTCTGTCTGCCGAATGACCGCCCGGGCCGCTGGGGTCAGGCCTTGATGGAACTCGGCAGTACGGTCTGTACGCCGAAACCGAACTGCTCGCAGTGTCCCGTCACGTCGACCTGTCGTGCTTACGCCGAAGGACGAGCGCTGGCTTCCAAACCCGAAGGCGAGGCCGGGACCAAGACCGGCCACTCGCCCGATATCGAGGATGCTATATGTACCCTATGCCACCCCTTCGAAGAAGCATCGGTGGAGGACACCACCGGCGACGCGGAGGTCGTCATCGGGACGAAGGAGGGTTCGAAAAAGCCCAAGTTAAAAGTCAAGAAACAGTCCACATTGTCCGTTTTCTTCCAACAAAAGCCCACGGGCATCCCCACGAAAGCAGGCGGCGAAATAGAAGTCATCGTAGACCATTGTCGGAAATTTCCCGTCAAAGGCGTCAAGAAGGCCGTCCGGGAGCAGGAGACGGTGGTATGCGCCATTCGCCGAAGCGACGACGGCAGCTACCTCATCACCCGGCGGCCCGATAAAGGCTTGCTTGCCGGACTGTGGGAGCTTCCCAGCCGCACCCTGGTCGACGCACGCGGGGTGGACGAAAAAGCATCGTCGTCCAAAACGGCGCGTTCGAAGCTGGCCAAGTCCCATGTAATGGAGATGCTCGCCCGAAAGGATGCGTCGGGAGGGCAAAAAAATAAGCTCAAGAACATCAACATCACCCATGAGGGAGAGCTCGGAAGCGTTCCGTGGCTCTTCTCTCACCTAAAGCTCACCATGCACGTCCACCTTTTCGTGTTAGACAGCGGCTGGTCGGATGCGGATGCGGATGCGGATGCAGATGCAGGGGTCCTCTGTACCCCGACTGCAATGCAACGCTGGGCCTCCTCCGGTGGGGAGATGGACGGCGAGTCCATGGGCACGGGGATGCGGAGATGCTGGGCCATGGTTCGGGATTGGGAGCAGGAGACTTTTGGTTGAGATGAGAAAAGGATGCCAAATTTAAATAAACCGAGGGACGACTAGACTGGACTCGACGTGAACGACTGTCCTTTATTGAAAGACGACAAGAAAAGAAGAAGAAAAGAACAAAAAAAGGACCCTCGGCGGATCACAGCCAAGACGACCCAACTTGGCAAACTCGGCATTTCGACCTCCGTTCCTGGACCACGAAATCCCCCAAAACGGCTTACGGCCTAAACAAGCCGCGGGACCCTTAAGATCCGCTGCCGGATAAAGAGATGCAACGTCATGCGAGCATGCTGCGTCTCGAGGCAACCGTGTCATGAACATCTTCGTGCCAGATGGAAAAGTTCGAGACTCCCCCTCCCTGGTCTGCTCAAAAACGAGTCGCCTTCGTTCCCTCTCTTGTCGTTTTACGTGGAACCCCGAACAAGTTAAACCTCCGCTCTCGTCGTCCCGTCAGTCTTCCTCTCACAGACCACAGACGAAAATCGAAATGGCATCACACCTCTCGCTAGCCGCCCTCCTGGGCACAATATTCATGGCCTCAACCATCGACGCCGCCGCCAACACCACAGTAGCCGACCCCCCCCTCCTCCGCCGCTGCATCAACAACCCAGCAGGACCGTTCTTGAACCCAGACCCGGCCGACAGGGTCTGCAACGTGCCCTTCGAGCAACTCCCGCCCAGCGCCAACAAGATCCGCCACCCCTGGACCCACGAGGCCGTCTGCGCGCCCTCCTCCGCCGTCGACGGGATCCAGTCCCTATTCTGCTCCTTCACCAAGGACGACTTCCGCGGGAAACACGGCCTCATCGTCCTGACCGCCTCCTCCCTCGCCGCCGACACCGCGCGCCTCCTCGAAGACACGAACCCCCTCTGGTACAGGACGCCGGACCGCGGAGATCCGCCCCCATACCCGCCTTACCAGGTCATCGACATGGACGACAAGGGGCTCGGGCTCGTCGCCAACACCACCATCCGCGAGGGGACCGTCATCCTGAGGGAGACGCCCGTCATACTGAAGCTGCAGGACCGTCCCGAGTCGCTCACCAAGCAGGACACGTGGAAGTTGATCAACAAGGCTATGGATAACCTGCCGCTCGATGAGCGGTTGCAGATCCTGGACTTGGCCCGCACCATCGGCGGACATCCTGTCGAGGACGTGATGCGGACCAATTCCTTCCAGGTCCGCTTCAACGGGTCTCCCCACCATGGATTGTTTAAGGAGATTGCCGTACGTTACGTTACCTGTCTTGCATTGCAAAGATGTTTGTGGACTTGAGCTGACTGAAAGGGGGTTTGAAACCGAGTAGAGGATAAACCACGCCTGCAAACCGAAGTGAGTTTACACTCAACATCTCGACATGCCTCAGGGGGTTTTGGACCCAGAATTTTACTAACATGTTCTTTTCCCAGTTCTGTCACACGGTGGTCCCAGAGCAAGCTCGAGATGGACGTCATTGCCTACCGCGATATTCAACCAGGCGAAGAAATCACCGTCAGCTGTACGTTACCCTTTTTCGTTTCTTTTATATTTCTTTTTTTCTTTCTCCTTTTTTTTTCTTTTTTCTTTTTTCTTCTCTCTTTCTTCCCTTCCTGTCCAGACGCCTTCCATACAAAGCATCACAACTAACACCTTCCCAGACGCCCCCCTCAACATTCTCGCCGAAGACCGCGCCGACATGATCCTCAGCCACTGGAGCTTCCAGTGCAAATGCCCCCTCTGCTCCAGCGAGTCGGAGATCTACCTCTCCGACATGCAGCGGCGCCAGCTCGACCGCATCATCGAGGAGCTCGACCTGCCCGAGGTGCGCACGCCGCAGCTGGTCGCCAACCTGGTGGAGGAGCTCGAGGAGATCATCGACGCCGAGGGGCTCGCGGCCCAGCGGGGCGACATCTACGGCATCGTCTCCAAGGTCTACAGCGAGATGGGCGACCTGCGCGAGGCGCTCCGCTACGCCCAGGTCGGGTCTGGGTTGCAGGAGCATTTCAAGGGGTGGGATGACAGGAGGACGTGGAATGCGAAGAGGTTTGTGGAGTATCTGAAGATGAAGATTCGGATGGAGGAGCAGGAGAAGAAGAACAAGAACAAGAAGAATAAGAAGCAATAGTCTATAGACGGGGGGTCCTCATTGGGAAGGCTTACGGCGCCCGGGATAATGAATAGAATGAAAGGCTGCCCACATTATGATTTCTTTGTCGTTTCTAACCTCTCAAGTGCTGTCTGGGTTAGTCGGCATTGTGATGGGGACCAAAATCTAAGGAGGCGGACAAGACAAATGTCCCAGTCTCGTTTGCAGAAATCAAGGACATTTCATTCGGGGCCCCGGTTTCCGTTCAACGGAAGACGATGGAAACAACTACACCATACTGTGCTTCTGGTCCTTATATATATGTGTGTATATATATATATATGCTGAGTGTCTCATCCGTCCAGGCGGACATGTCCAACTACGATTTGCAGACCCGAATAACATCGCAACCAGAAAGTAAACAACAACAACACAACAACAACAAAAGAAAATGTGCACCCAAACCCTCACCCAAGCCCCCTGCAACCAAGGCAAACGAGTCCACACCCACATCCTCGTCGCCCGCCGCACCACCTGCTCCCGCGCAACCCGCCCCTGCATGTGCCACTTCGGCAGCTGCGGCTCCCTCCGCTCCGTCCCTCACCCGCACGTCCTCTGGGACGACGCCTCGCGCCTCGAGGGCTGTGCCACCTTGCTTCTCCCCTTGCCTTCTTTTCCCCGAGACCGCGAACGGGGTGCCGGTGCGGGTGGGTGGACCGAGGGGAAGCTGCGGCGTGTGTGGACTTTGGAGACCGCGTTGCTTTGGTGTAGGGATACGGCGCCCGGGTGTAGAGTAAGACAAGAACGAGAGGGGGCGGGAGCGGGAGCGGGCGGGAAGAGGAGATGGGTCGGGTGTGCGGGAAGATCGTGGGTTTCCAAGGGTGTTTCTGGGGGGTTGGAGGAAGAAAAGGAGGACGCGGAGGATGATTCCTAGGTGACAAGACGATGCAGAGAGGACGAAGAAGAGGATGGTGGATTTATCTCCGGTGTATTCCACCGTCCACGGATGCCTCTCGACTCCGGAACAATGTCCTGTCCTGATCCTTCTGCTACTTCTCATCATTCATTTCATTACATTACATTACATTACATTACCTTACTATATATCATGTAGTAGATAACACAGCACATCAGTCCCAGCATTGATCGCTTTTACAACTCCCTTCGCCTCCAACAGATCCTGGACGGTCCCTAGCTCTGTTCCAACTCCATACATATCCAACACTGAACGCATTGTCCAGTATAGATCGAGTGACGATCCAACAAACGCCGTATCGCGCGCGCTGTAGACTTGCGCCACGATAACCAAAACAGTCCTCAAGCCAGTTAGATCCGGCCCTGTTCCAGAACTTCCCTCTCAACTTCCACCTCCCCCGTCTCAGCCGTGTACCGTTTTCCCACAATCCACCTCTCCTCGCCGCCATCCTCCTCCTTTCTCCGTGACGTACGACACGCTCTCCGCCGAGCCCTTGTGCCCATGTCCCATGCCCGGACGGCGCCGCGTGACGTCGTGACTGCCATCATCCTTGTCTTCCAACTCGAGCGTGGATTCGCTGTAGACGGTCGAAGAAAAGGTGCCAACAGGTGCCGGGAAACCCAACGGACTCAGGGGGACCATGCACGGCAGCAGCGACGGAGCGGTCACAGCCTGGGACGAAGGGGAGCCGAGGTAGGAGACAGAACAAGGCGCCGCCATGGTCATGGTGGGAGACGCAGACCCGCTCCCGGCGTCGGACGAGTCGTAATCGCGGCTCTGGATAGACAAGGCCGAGTTCTTCCGCGCGTGACCATAACCGTGACCGTGACCGTGACCATGAGCGAAAGGAGCCCCAAGGTTCCACGGCGAGCCGGCGCCGTCGCCCCGTTCCGACCTCGGCGAACCTTCCTTGCTGGACGTCAGGCTGGCCTGCGACCCGCCCCAGGCCTTGGACCGCAGCCGCATAAGCGCCGACAGGCTCATGTTGCTGTCGTCGCCGTCCGACATCATGGCGAGCTGGGCCAGCCCGGGGCTCGTCAACCCGGACGCGCTGGATCCCAGGGGCGGGACGGCCAGGCTCATGACCGAGTTGCGGTTCGAGTACTCGGACCGCTCCGTGATGGGCGTCAGGTTCGGCTCGCGCGACACCACCCGTCCGGACTTGGTGCGGCTCACGCCCGCCGGCCCGAAGAAGCCTCCGTTGGCGTACTCGAACGGCGGCCTGTCCGACCCGCTGGAACTATCCCTGCTGTGACGAGGGGGGACCGGGGCGGAAGAGTAGAACCCGAATTCGGTGCCGTACCACCCGTCGGAGTCGTTGGCGAGGGCGTCGGCGTTGGCTTCGGCGATGATGGCGTCGTCGTCGAACCCGTAGTCGTCCAAGTGGGAACACTCGTCGTCGCCAAAGTCGTCAAAGGATTCGAAGCCTGAATCTTCCGTGGCGTCCCTCGGCTGCGTAGGTTGCTGTGTCGACGACGTCGAGAGCTCGCCTGGCGGTGGAGATGAGTCTCGTCGGAATTTCCCACTGGCAGCCGCTTGATGAGCCGCTGCCGCTAGTGCCGCCTGATAGGCGGCCACCTTGTCACGGTCGGCTGAAACGATGCTGGGCTGCGACTGGAGTCTGCTTCGGCTGTCGCTCTCGCTCTCGCTCTTGCTCTCGCTCTTGCTCCCGCGCTTCGCCTCCACGATGGCAAGGGCGGGCTGTAGGCCGATGCTCACCGATGTGTGGGCCGTGGACGGCGGCGCCGTCTCCGACTGCGTTGACATGCGAGACGTGCTGTCCGAGGACCGTTTCCCTTGCTCCTCGGCTGCTGCCGCTGCTGCCGCTGCCAAAGCGGCTGCAGCTCGTGCTGCTTTGGCGGCCGCGAAGGCTCCCGGAATAGGACGACCGTACCGATCGGTGTCATCTAGGTCAAAGAGCGACTCGTCAAAGGTGGACCCATCCCCTTCTCCTGCAAATTCGTCCACGTCGTCGAGAAGCCCGCCATCGTAGTACATGTCGTCTTCTCTGCCCGTTCTTGGAGGATATGAGGACTGAGACTCGTCATGGGTTGTGGGCACACGCGAATTTTGATCGGTGGTCGTGAAGCTGGAGACGTTGGCATCGTGTCTAATACCCAGACCCTGAATTGCCAAATCGGTAACTGGAGCATCAGAACCTGGCGGCGACTTCGCTGTAGGAGTTGTTTCCTCGGTGTGACGATTATGAAAAGTCGGAAGCTGCAGATGCGGAGTGTCATCACACGTAGCATACCCGATGACATTTCCCTCCGCATCCCTCGGGGTGACCACGCAGACGGCATCCCGCGGGCTGGTAAGCGGTGAAGCGCCGTTGGACCGCTGGAAGACGAAGCCGGCAAAATTCTCCTGATCGTCATCCGGATCTCTTTCGGGGGCGGGGTCAGTGACTACGTGCCGCTTCTTTACGTCGACTAGGCCGTCATAATTCACATTGACCCCGGGGATCGGTTCTTCTAGGTCGCCATAACCGACATTAACCCCCGGGATGGGTTCTTCTAGGTCGTCATAATCTGCATTCACGCCAGGAATACGCTCTTCCAGTCCGTCATCATCATCCATCATCGCATCGTAGTCAAAGGCGGCGGCGTCGTCGTCGTCGTCGAAATCGTCAAAGCGCGAATCCCGGGTCGGATTCCGATTCGGCTCGGTGTCAGAGGTCTGCCTCTCCATCGCCTGCTGGCGGTGCCTGTCTTCGAGGAGCTTCTCCTGCCTTGCCGCGCCGATCATGTCGAAACTGAAACGGGAAGAAGTGCTCTTCATGTGTCGTGGGATGGACGGCGGGAGGTTGTTGGTCGCGACGCCGGCCCCAGAGGCATTGCGCGACGGGGTGGTCCGCGTCGAGGCGCGGGACTTTTCCAGAGCGGAAGCCGCATCTTGGGCCACGGGCGTTGACGTCGCGGTCGAGGTCGAGGTCGAGGACTGGCGACCAGAAGGTGTGGCGGTTTGATCCTTGGGGGGGACGCTGGGCGGTTCGCCGGGTAATGGTTTGGAGTCCAAGTTGGAGCTCCCTTTCCTCTCGTGACTCTTCTGGGGGGAGATGTTGCTACTCGCATCGGACAACAACTGAGAAGTGGTGCCGAAGGAGGTGGACTGGCGGCCCGAGTCGGAGGCGTTGCTCGTGTTCCGAGTTCGGTCGGCGCGGTGGCCGGGGACCAAGGTATCATGCGAGAAGGCTTTGGGGAGCGGGAGGCGCTCGCTGTTGTCGTGGCCATGGTTGTGGCTGTGGCTGTGGCTTCGGCTGTGGCTGTCGGGAGGCTCGGGCGGGCGGGGCGACGGCACCGGTTTCCTGGTCAAACGGGGGGCACTGAAATCGTGGACTCGTGTGCCCCGGATTCGAGGATCGTACTCGTACGATGGGTGGTCAAGGGTGCTATGGAGAGGCAAGGGCGTGACGTCAGGGGCATTCTGGTTGGCTTTGCGGCGCAAGAGAAGGGTGGACATGGGGTTCTTGAGGAACGGCAACCCTTTTCTGCCCTTGGGCGCCGCCACTGGCGTAATCTCGTGAGGAACGGTAGGGCTAAGTTGAGAGGCGGATGTGGCGGGTTCAACGGCCAGCCTGCTATTGGCGGGACGACGACCGTTGCCGTTGGTGGCTGAAGGTTGTTGCGATGACTGCTGCTGCTGCTGCTGCTGTTCCTGTTGCTTGGACTGACGGCTCTGATGCTGCAGGTCAGTGGGCGTCGCGAAGGAGGGGGCCGAGCTCAGGGTGTCGGTGTCGCTGGGTTTCCGAGCAGTGACAGGCTGTTGGTGCAATTTCTGCTGTTGTTCGCGACGGTACTTTTGCAGGGCGACACCGCCCATAAAGCCTCTATCCGGGTCGTCATGATATGGTCTAGCGGGAGGCGGCTGGCGCGACGTTTTGGACTCGGCGGGCTCGGGGGCAGAAAAGGTATCAAAGGACGGAAAGTCGAGGATGGCTGTGTCGGAGTCGGAGGACGTAACCCGCGTGATGGGAGGCAAAATCGGGGGAAGAGAAGAAGCATTGGAAGAAGAATGTGGACGACCGAAGGCGTCGTTGTGGGTGTGGGAGTTGGTGTGGTCGGAATTGAAGGGCGGCTCGTAGAGTAGAGGGGGTTGTTGAGGCTGGGGGGAAGCGGCGGGATCCCATCGCGATGCCGATGAAGGGTTCGAGACGGACGGGTCTCGGTCACGGTCTGGGTTTGGCGAAGTAGGGTTGGAGGCGCCGCGTCGGTGAAATCGAAGATGGGAGAGCATGGCGGGCTATCGTATGAGGGTGATGCTGGTATTCGTAGCAGTAGTACGGGTGATGATTGTCGAGATGACGATGGCGACCCCGGCCGTAATGAAGGTGGAAGGTGATGATTGGGGGCGGGGTCAGTGACAAGAGTCCAAGGACACGGCAACCCTTGAAGCCAAAGCGATTGTTGATGATTGCCTCGAGGGATGGAGATCTTGGTGAGATGTGGTCATTCTTCCCTTGGCGACGACGCAGGCATGGATGGCTTTTACCCAGATGTGAGGAGGGGGCGGGGGGGGCGGGAATAGTCGATAGTGAAGAGATAGTTCGAAGCCGCGAGATGTATGACGAGCCCAGGGACACAAGCGAGGGAGATGCAGCTGGGAAATTAGATTAATAGGTTAGTAAGAGGGGCGAATAGTCGCACGGTCCAAGGGACGACAGGGAGGAGATGTGAGTGTGCGAGGAAAATGAACAGGTAATGATGATTTTCTCCCTAGAGTCGATGATGGTGATGGCATGGGGAAAAAAGGAAAACAATAAGAAAGAGGAGAGAGAGAACAAGACGAGGAAGAGAAATGAATACATCTAGGTATCAGTACCTACTCCGACATCCGTACATGACTGAATTGGGGAAAGCGTCTCTCTTCTTCCCCATTTCGACCCCCTTCCCCAGTTGCTCCTGGCCGTTTTTGTGTGGTTGCGTGCCTCGGCCGATAGACCGCCTAAGGTACATGCGGATGCCTAAGACATAAGGTACCGTAGGTAATTAAGGTAGAGTTAAGATCACAGAGACCATGTAGGTACCAACCTCAGGTAAACGAAACGTCACTCTAGCGGCGATAGGTAGTGTTTTTTGTGACTTGTCGTGTTCAGTCCCTCAGTCGATACCTCTGTCGAGTCGGTACCGGGGACCAACAATCGCGATTTCAAGCGGTTTGACCAAAGTAGAAGTAGACGTAACCGTTGGAAGCATGATATATGGTACGTGTAGATAGATATTCATACCTTACCTACCTTAGGTAAGGTATCTTAGTGGAGAGTGACAGCCAAATTCTTCGTCCCGTATACTCCGTTCTTAACCGTGGTGTCTGACCGACGTCAGTTATCCCGTCCCGATCCGAGGAGGTCAGTTCGTTTCGTCGCAGAATTCCCCAACTTCGGTCTATTCATTGGACCGACTTACACCGAGAGACGGTTGACGTGGCTGAGGCGTTTACGACGTTAATAAACGTTGAAGACGGTAATTCTTTGTCGCAAAACCATGAAGTATAAAAGAAGAAAAGACCTATTTTTCCATGGACATACCTACATGTATTTCTGAGATTATCGGCAATTGTTCCTCGTCCAACGAACACTGTACATTGTACATTGTAGGTAGCTACTGCCACAAAAGGGAAGGAAAGACGGAGAAATATAAGGCATCCGCAATTACCTAATTAATACTTGCTGCCTGGAGAAAATGATGTACACTACCTACGACCCCTGGCAGTGCTCCAGGTCCTTGCCGCTTCGACACGGACATCCTGGCGCGAGTCCCTGACGCTAAATCTTCCCTTTCTCTCTCCTTCTTTTCCTCCATTTTTTCCTCCATTTTTCCTCCCTTTTTCCCTCCCTTTTTTCCTCCCTTTTTCCTTTCTACCATCAACCCTCACACGAACTCTTCATCCGCCGTCGCAACCCCTCCAAATCGCCAAACATGTCCCATCCGAGCGAAGTCCCACCGGCCCATGGCTTCGCTGACCAGGCCTCCGCCATTCCTTCTCACCCCTATTACCCCCTCGGCGTCGACCTGCCCGACTACGTCCCCAACACCCTCGACACTCTCTCCATCCTCGCCATCTTCTCAACCACCTTGGCCGCCGTCCTCCTCCCCGTCCTGATCTTTATCCGCCGCTATAATCCGAAGCTGTCTGCCAGCGAAATCGCCATCGCCCTGTGGTTCGTCCTCTGCGGCGTCATCCACCTGGGTCTCGAAGGTTCGTTTCTTCTATGTCCTTCCCCC